GGCTCCTGGGATGTAGAGCTTGCATAGGGTTGTCGTTTATAATTTCAGGGCTCTGACTTCGGCTTTGGGATTTGAGATTTGGCTTCTATAAACCCTAAACCCTAAACCCTAAACCCTAAACCCTATAGGGATCTGGCCGTTATGAGCATGGAGTTCAGGACGCGCTCGCCTTTTCACTTTTGCAACTCCGTAGTTGCTGCTGTGGCGGGTGTGGAACCCTTACCCCCCAGGTACCTACTATATAGGGTACTAGAGCCCCTATGGCCCTATATAGAAGGTACCTGGGGGGTTAGGGGAAGACAAGCAGGGGAATGCACTGCTGCCAGAATTGCGGATGTAGTCTGCAGACAAGGCTTGCTGAATTCGTGTAGAGGTTGTGGTTGGCCCTATCATTTACTATTGTCACGGCCGGCAGTAGGCGCTGCTTTCAGAATCAACGGGGCCCAACTAATTCAGTTGTGGTAATAATATCACATATCACCACCTGTTCGAATTATTAAGGCCCTAGTTTAGGGTATCGGGAAAATGGCCTGACAAAGGCTGCTAAAATGCAAATGACAGTCTTGTTTGCTGAAGCTTCAGGGCGCAGCTCTACGGGTCCTTTAAAAGCTTCAAAGATACGTTCCGAGGCAGCCGACTTTGCAAGCAGAGCAGACATGCGTTGAGGCTTCAGACTTTAGCCTCTCTGGCCTTACGCCCGAACAAGAGCCAACCTTCGAGATATTGTCGTGCAATACAAGGACAAGAGCCAAAGAGAGACCAACGATGCCAACGTCAGACGCTACCAATACACACATGACGCAATCATCTCGCAGCAATGCCGGAACTTTTCGTGGTGTCAGCTTACCTGTCCTCGCCCTGCCTGCACTGGAGATGTTGAGGTCTGCATGCCATTCGCCACAGATCCCGTAGATGGGCTGCGAGCCTGTGCAAGTGTTCATCATGCCTTCTCTTAGGATGGCTGTCGAAACACGAAGAGTAAACATATGCTGTTGTTGCAGAGTAGCGCTTGAAGTAGCTTCGACATTACCATAATTACAAGCTATTCCTACTAGGAAGGCCATTTTCACCATAGTAGTAAACAAAGATATAGGGCAGAACTATTATCGTTGTACTGCGTCCTTCTATTCTACCTCTGAAACATCGCTGGTCTTTGAAGGTTGCAATGATTGCTACGGCATCTCATTGGCACTACTATTATACGCTTACTTCGCTTCGAGGCCCAGACAACTAAGGAATTTGGGTGTTTCAGAAAATTGTGGGGCACTTCGAAGAATCGAAACCTGCAGCGAGTCGGATCTGGGGCTTGCAAAGGGCTCCAATTTTTCAGGGTTTAGGGTTTGGGGTTTTACGGTTTTGAGGATTCTAGGGTTTAGGGTTTAGG